AAAGGTTATTCTCAGGAGATGGCTTACTGGCCTTAGTTCTGTGATGACACTGAAATGGCTGGAGTTCATAAAATTTTTCAAATGAATGATTACCTCCTTGGGCTTAGGAATCTTTTTGTTTGATATGGTTTGTAAAAAAATTATTATTATTATGAAAAGTCCTTTGGTTTCACATTCCTCTTTGTCAGTGTCTTATCCATTTATTTTTATTTAATTTTTAGAAAGGGTCTCACTATGTTGTGATTGTTCTGTCTCAGCCTCCTGAGTATCTGAGATCTCAGGTGGGCCCCACTCCACCAGGTTTTTATTGTACTTTTATCTCTTCTGAGAGAAAGAGCGAGAGCACTTCCAATAGGGCCTTGATGCCATGATCCACCCTCAGTCTTTCCATTTCCGCCATACAGTGTGAACATTCAGTGTGTGTTGAGTGGAGACATACGGTGTGAACATTCAGTGTGTGTTAAGTGGAGACATATGGTGTGAACTTCAGTGTGTGTTAAGTGGAGACATACGGTGTGAACATTCAGTGTGTGTTAAGTGGAGACATACAGTGTGAACATTCAGTGTGTGTTAAGTGGAGACATACAGTGTGAACATTCAGTGTGTGTTAAGTGGAGACATACAGTGTGAACATTCAGTGTGTGTTAAGTGGAGACATACGGTGTTTGTCTTTCATGGCTTGGTTTATTTTACTTAGCCTTATATCTTCTAGAATTGTCCATTTTGTGGCAAGTGACAGGATCTCATTGTTCTTTTTGGCTGAGTAGCATTCCATTGTGTATATGTGGTACTTTTATTTTTTTTTAAGAATTATTTAATTTAATTTATTTATCTAAATTTGGCCAGAGAGGGACAGAGTGAGAGAGAGAAAGAAAGAGAGAGGGAAGCTGAGAAAGCAAGTCACCAGGTCTGGGACTTGAACTGTGGTTGGCCATGTGGGAGTCCAGTGACTTTGATTGCCACACCACCTGCTGGCCCCAGGATATTTTCTTAATCAAGTCATTGGTTGTATGATACTTAGGTTGATTCCATGTCCATGCACTTGTTAATAATACTGCAATAAACATGGATGTGAAGAACCAGTAGATGTCCTAATGGACTCCCATGTAGTTAACCACGGTTTGAATCCTAGACCTGGCAGCCTAAAGCTCACACTGGGAGTGTGTGGGTGCATGCCCAAAATCCCAAGAGGAGAATGAAGAAGGGATTGCAGTGTGGCCATCCTCCTGGGGACAAAGACTTGAGCCACAGTTGGCCATGTGGGAGTCCGGTACTTTGACCACTATGCCATTTGTCAGCCCCTCTGTGATAAATTTTTGAGGAACCTCCATGTTGTTTTCCATAGTGGTCATACTAATTTATATTCCTATCAGCAGTGCAGGAGGGGTTCCTTTTCTCCACAACCTCATTAGCTCTTGTCTTTTGTTTTTGTTTTTTTGTTTGTTTTCATCATAGTCATTCTGAGCGGGGTTAGATGATTCCTTGCGGTTTTGGTTTGCATTTATGATAGGAAATGTTGACACCCCCCCACACACACACAATCCTCCCACACTGTCTCTAGTATATATGTTTGCTTTCTATACTGTTTTCCCCCCACATTTTATTGAATCACCAAAGACCCTCATCAATCCAAATACCCTCATAGCATACACAGGTGTGACACACACATTCCCATGAACACAAGTCTAACTTTACGCATCTCAATAAAGTAGCACCTAGCTGGGCCTACATATCCTACAGCAGTCATTGAATAGATATATTTTTCCCTAAACTTTTTTTTTTTGTAACTCAATTTACATTCCTTCCCTAAGCATCATCACAGCACACAAAATGCGATCTCCCATCCAGTACACACTGCATAGTGACTCAATCATGCACATTATAAAAAATTTTCCAATTCTAGTTCCTAGAATTATTTCCGCTCCTCTTTCTGACCCTCTGTCCCTTCCCACCCTCCTCTCACACCACCTCCGGTGTCCAAAATTGTCCTCCATTCCCTTCCCACCCACATTGCATCGATCACACAATTTCCTACATAACCTAACTACTTTCAATGGTGAGTTCACTCGTTATTACTAACAAAACCAGTTTTAACTTAAATCAAAGAAACGCCAAGGTACTTTGCTTAAAGCCAGGAAACAGGTTAGGAATCTGTTCAAATGGTAGGTGCATGAACCTATCAGTCTCATGCACTTTTATCTTCTGTTCTGGTTCAATTTTCCTGATTAAATTCTGGTA